GCACCAGTTGTCTTGAAGGTTCTTGAGTTCCTGAGCTGGGGCTCACTTGTGATAAAGAGTGTAAAACATTTTTTCTTACTTAAAATTATCATAAAAGGAAAATTTTTAACAAAACGGACATGATCAGGAGAGAGTTTTTTTATTATTATTTTACTTGACATTTATATTTTATATTTAATAATCTAAGTTAATTAAAAAACTATATATCTATTAAAATATTTATAAGTTATACTTTATTTAATTAATAATAAAGTTTCAAATTGGATAATTTATCATATTATAAGAATTACTCTTGAAGTATTTACTAGAAAATATATATTTATATTAATAATATTTAATTTTATATTTGTATAAGTTAAAGATATAATATCCATCCATAGGATACTTCCACTACACTTGAAGTATGAATATGCAAAATCCATTTTATGACTTGAAGGCAAACATGTATAAAGTGGTTGTAGCACCTTTATACAAAAAGATACTTACTTCTCACCACCTCCAATACTACTTCGCTTCCTATACATCAAGCTATACATGTAGTGTAAATTATTTTGCTGTTGATTTAATTCCCAAAATCCTTAAAAATAATTGCGTCATGACTTAATTATTTATATATTTTAATAGTGACTCAATTAATTGCGTCAAATAATTGCATCAATTGCATCAAGGATCTACAAATTTCAGCAACATGTATACATCAAGCCATATTTGGAAAGCAGGCATGCCAACCCTAATCATAAATTGGAGGCCAACCTGTATATATTGGCTGCAGTGCCTTCATGTAATTAGGTACTCATTTACTTCTAAGTAGCTAGACATCATTTATAACATAATATAGATTTTTGAATTTCTTTTTTTCTGTATTTCTTGAATAATACTAAAAGAGCATAGGAGTTTGGCCCTATAAGGAAGCCTTGTGTTAAACTTTTCCTAGCAATAAGAGATATATGTAGTGCTATTGATTATTATATCTTGCTTCACAAGTAAAAGTATAATAAATATAATAAAGCATAATAGCCATTTGCTCTTTTTTTTTTTTATCGTAAAAGGGCATTAGATGCAAAACTTTATTAAGTGTATAAATTGATACACAGATTATATCAAATATCTTTACATAGTATATGTGAATTAATATTAACCTATCTACGATGCTAACTATTGCTATCCTAATTATACTTGATGTAACTCAGATTGGCTCTAGTGCTGGATGGTTAATGCCCTTCCAGAGCTAAAAGTAGGTCCAATGATTTAAGTATATTGTCTGATTTAGCATATTGTGAATCTGATTCCGTAATGATTGAGAAGGTCTGATTCTTGTGAAGGGCCCATTGTATTTTTAACTTTTGTGTCTTGTGTACTGTATCTGATTTTGGTCCATTTGATTCCTGTTAATACTGATGTGTTTGACATTGATGATCTGGGTATCCATATTAATGTATAAAGAAGTTTCAACATACTGTTTGTAAACTTAGCTAATTTTTTTTTTTGAGAGATGGATGTTCGGAGTTGTTATGCTGCATGCTATCTTTTAGGTTGTAATTTTCTGTAAATGTTGAGATCCGGTAGGTGTTGTGATGTTGCGCTGACTTTCTTTGAGAGCTTCTTTAATTTGGAGTTCATTTTGGTTTCGATTTCCTCATACACTGTAATGTTTTTGTAGCATTCAAAGAAATGTTCTTGTATTTCTGGTGCGATCGAGCATCTGGAGCATAGATCATCTTGATAGCTGTCAAGATATCTTTTGTGTAGTAGCTTTCTTGTGGGGAGGGTTCCACTAAGGATTTTGTTTCTAAAGGCCAACAAGAATGAGAAATTATATTTGTCTTTTTTAATTAATAGATTGTTTGTGAGTACAAGATGCTGCAGTGTCTCTAGTTTTAATGTTTGATTCCATTTACTTTTAATTGATAAGCTGTTGATTAAGTTGATAAGCCTATAGGATTGCTGAACTTTTTTAAGCCATGTTATTGCACTATAGCTCCACATGTTCTTAATAAGTGGGCTAGTGATGTATTTGTTGATTTCTATTATATTGTCTATACAGATTATTGAGTCGCTTTCCTGGAAGTTGAGAAGGTTATTGAGTTTGTTTAATTGTATCTTGATTTCTTTGAAATTGCACAGTGTAGAGATACAATCTACTAAATAGCTATAGGCTGTCTTGATCTTATGATTAACATAGCTTGGGATACATAGATTGGGAACTTTGGTGGCATTAACTGATATATAAATGTTATTTTTGGCTGTTGCTAAGATTCCGATTAAGACTAAGAGTATGCTAATAGATTGCTTATACTCAGAGTGACATGTAAGCATCGAATTGTTTGCTTTAGCTATTATGAGGCCATCCTTGATATTTAGGTCTATGGTGATGAAGAACTGTTTTGGCATGATGATCTGTTTAATATCTGACATCATGTTGTTGTTGAAATGTGGAAGCATGTTTAGTATGTTTCGGTTATTAATCTCGATATCTGGTATAAGGTTTGAAGGCTTATTTTTGGAGTATAGTTGGATTAAGATCTCTTCTGGGGCATTTGCCAACATATGCTGATTGCTTTTTTGATATGTCCACAAAGTCATTGCTTCTTGTACAGGAATTAGGAACTTTTGAGCGTCACTGTGATACTGACACCTAGTAAGTGTTCTATTTGTCACAATGATATAATGGGTTCCTTTTACGATCATCTGATTTGTATTACGATTACTTCTTGCTTTCAAATAGGTGACTTGATTGTTTAATATAGTAGCCCAGAATCTAGCTTTGATGTTTGATATACAGATAGACATTCCTTGAATATGGTTGAGGATATTAACTTTAGAAAACCAGGAAGGTGTTGAGCCCTTAGGAATCGGATCAAAATGAGTATTGAATTCTTGCCATGTGAGTTTGCAGCTTGATTGATAAACTAAGAGGTCATTTAAGAACTTGATGTTTTTCCAATATAAGCTGAGTGCTTGTCGGGTCATAGCTTTTTCATTAAAAGAAACAGCGAGGCCTATTGAATAGTTTTCATTTGGGCTATTGAATTCACAGTTCGATGGACATACTGAGACTTCATATTTTTTACATGCTATTGCAGCTCTGGTG